TGGAACAATTGGTGAGGAGGTATGAGGTGGGAGCAGTTGTTGTTGAAGCCGGGGGCATGGGGCCCAGTTTCAGCATGAAGGTTCCCCGACAATAAAAAACAAGATGCGCACTTTAATTGAAACACACAACTTGCACTTGTGCAAGGGATATCAACAGTAGTTTCTTTTTCAAGACCGAGAATTCCACAACTCATTTGAAGACTGTGCGCTCTTATCTGCTCGCGTGCCACTCAGCACATATTTCAGGCGGGAGCCATTATTATTGTAGTTCGTTGCCGAACAGCTCAGTTCGTGGACGCCAAGCTTTTCTTTGATTTTCCTTTGAAGAAAAACAGGGTGTTAGCCCCGAGAGGGGGCACTTCAATTGGAAAACATACAATGTTCATCGGAGGGGGGCAACAACACTTATTTAGTTGTTTTCGGCGTGAGCATCCAACAATCACGTTAGGACTGCTCGCTCTTACGGGCTCGCGTGCCATTTAACACGCAGATCCCAAATCCTCGGTAACAGCATCTTCCGTCTTCGATCGTGCCCCCTTGGGGGTATATCTTCCTTGCCTGTCGCGCGTATGTGGTGCAGCCCCTGAAACAGGGAAAGAGAGCACACATGGAAGGGGGATTGAGAAGGATGGAACACGGGATTCGCAGGAGGGGTGCTAGGAACAGAAATTGTGTGGCAGAGCCAGGCGGGGCCCATCGGGCGGGTAGGCCCTGACAGGCGGGCCCGCAAGGCGGGCCCAAGCGACCAGACCGAGAAGGCGTGTTGCTGAAGCGTGATCACTGCGTGCAACGCGAGGAAGCCTCAAGCGAAAGCGCGATTCCAAAGTAAATCGTGAGAAGGGCAAAAACGATAGCGTGATTCCTGAATGTCGAGAGCGCGGCGTCTTAATACATGTAGAGTGCCCACGCGGGAACGCGAATTCTGCATAACTTGGCGGACGTCCCGCCTGAGAGCGCGAACTTTGAATATGTTGCCAGGAAGTATCAGGTGGGAGCCACTGTTGGTGTAATTCGTGGCCCAACAACGCAGTTTGTCGACGCCAAGCTGTTGTTTCTGTTTTGTCTTTGAAGAACAACAAGGTGCGAGCTCCAAGAGGGGCCACTTGAAGTGGAAAAATACAATGTTTACCCGAGGGGACATCAACGCTTACTTCGTTTTTTTTCGATTTGAGAATCCAACAATCACTTAGGACCGTTCGCTCTTACGGCCTCACGTGCCATTCAACACGTAGATCCCAAACCCTCGGTACCCGCCTTCTTCGTCTTCGATCGTACCCGCCCTGGGGCTATATTTTCTTCACCTGCAGTGCGTAATTGGTACAGCCCCTGCGGCAAGGGAGGAAAGGACCGACGGACGTGGGAGGGAAAAGGATGGAGCACGAGATTGGCAGGAGGGGGGCTAGGTGCAGAAACCACGTTGCAGAAACAGACGGGCCCATCGGGTGGATAGACCCTAACGGGCGGATCGGGAAAGTTGGCCATGCGGCCAGGTGGGGAAGTCGTGTTGCTGAAGCGTGATTATTGCATGAATCGCGAGGAGAGCTCAAATGATAGCGCGATTCCCAATCAACTCGCGGGATGATCCACAGAGAGAGCGTGATTCCTACTTGTCGAGGGCGCGGCGTGTGAATCCATTGCAAGTAGGTCCCACGCGAGAGTGCGATTTCTACTTACTCTGTCAGGAAGTCCCGCGCGAGAGCGCGCCTTTGGAATCTGTTGTGAGGAAGTCTGATCTGGGAGCCGTTGTTGTTGTAGTTTGGGGCCCACTTCTGCAGTTTGGTGACGCCAAGCTATCCCTTGTAAAACTAGGGTGCGAGCCCCGAGGGGGGGCACTTCAATAGAACCATACAGTGGGTATCGGAGAGTGGGATCAAGAATGCTTCTTCCCGCGGGAAGGATACCTTCACAACAACAACAACAACAACAACAACAACAACAACAACACACATGCTCCCCGATGCTCTTCCTCCTCCTCTTCCTCCTTCCCCTCCTCCTTCTCCCTGCCCCTTCCAAGAGGACGCCCTGGCCGTCGGGCCAGCGTTCCCCTTCCCATCCCCTCCCCCCTTTTTCGGGCGTTGCTAAAAACGTGCCCCTTGCCCCCAAGGGGCTCCCAGGGCCTCCAGGGAGGCCCCCACGGCCTTCAGGGAATCCCCTCACGAGGCCTGGAGGGCCCCAGGGGGTCCCGAACGACCCGAAAAGTCAGGAGCACCTTTAGGGGAACAACAAGTGGCATAAACATAAAAACTCGGAGGTCCGCGATGATTTCTCGGATCGGCGCTGGGGCCCGATCCGAGAAATCCGCGCGGATCTGCGAGTTGTTATGTATACAGTGAGCGGCTTGAGTAAGGGACCCTTTTCGTTGGGGAGGGGCTCCGCGTTCCTTAAGTGTTTCGCAGCTTGCCTCAGGCTTTCCTTATGTTTTCGACAGAAAATCGAAGGTCAACTTATGGAAAAAAAGGGGGGCCCGTTCCTTACTTAGGGTTCCTCAGGTCAACGCCCCGACTGTATGCCATTTTTTGTTCCCCTAACCTTGGGCCAGGCGTCCCCCTTCTGCCTCCCTCCGTGTCCTCCCGTGCCCCCTCCTGCCCCTCCTGCTCCGTCCCCCCCTCCCTCCTCCTGCCCCCCCTGCTCCTGCCCCCCTCCTCCAGTTTGTTTCCCTCCTCACATCATATGCCTCCTCCTAACCTTCTCCTCCCCCCTCCCTCCTCCTGCCCCCCCTGCTCCTGCCCCCCTCCTCCCTTTTGTTTCCCTCCTCACGTCACATGCCTCCCCCTGACCTTCTCCTGCTCCCTCATAACGACATCGCGAACAAGGACGCAACATCGTGAACAGTGATTCACTGTTCAGGATGTTCAGTGATTAGGGTGCTGGTGTTCACTGAACACCAGCACCCTAGACTGCATCTTTCTCCACGGCCCCGCGCACCAAGACTACGATCAGCCAGGACGTCGGCACGCTTGACAAAATTGCAGCCGTAGGTCGAGACACTTCTGATGTTTATGTCTCTCCCACTGGGTCTTGCATTCTCTTGCAGCTGCTGGGCCCCTGACTGATTGCAGCGGCATTTCTCGAGCTGGATCGATCTGTGAACGGGGCCGGTGGCCCGAAACGGGGCACGGATGCCCAGAGCGAAAACATTGCGGCGGGTCTTCAGGGCCTCGCCCTCCCTGCCACGCCCACTCCCGCTCCCTGCCCTCCCTCCCTCCCAAAGGCCCCCCTCCCTCCCGTCTGCGGCGCGCCCTCGGGGGTGGCACGAGGAAGGCAGGGGCCTCCTCGGCAGGGCCCAGCGGCTTCTGCAGGAAGCCTCCTTGGAAGCCGGGGGGCTTCTACGAAGCCCCCCCCCGCCTTCTGAGAAGCCCCCCTCCCGCCTTCTTAGAAGGCTCTCCCCCTTGCCCCCCCCCCCCCCTGTGCAGGGCTCGTTTCGATTCCTCCGATTCGATTCGATTCGATTTCGATGGCTTCCGATTCCGATTCGATTCGACTTGATATTCCGACTTGGGCTCCGAGTTCTTATTGGAGGCCTACTAGCCTGCCGATGTCTGCCGATTCGACTTTTCCCGACTCGGCTGCCGATTTCCGCCGATCCGATTCATTTCGATCGCCGATCCGACTTATCGATTCGATTCTGGGCTCTCTTGCCCCTGTGCGCCCCCCCCCCTCCGCGCGCGCTCGCTTCTCCGGCTCGCACGGCCCCTCCCGCAGCCGTGCGGCAGACCCGGCGGCATCCGGCCGGCGCTCCCCCCCCCCTTCGAGACCGTCTCCGGGAGCGCTTCCGCGCGCGAGAGCCAGCTACGCGCAAGGGGTGACCGTTCAGCGAAGTGACTCCTCGTCCGAGGCCCGAAAGCCATCACTTCACTAATTTTGGGCCCCAGGGCCCACTGAGGCCCCAGGGGCCCAAGATTAGTGAAGTGATGTTTTTTCCCACGTAAGGACCCCGAAACTCATCACTTCACTAAACCGAACCCAGGACGAAAGTCAGGGGCCGAATTGCTGCTGTGATGCAACATCGGTCTCGTACCTCGGTTCGAAGAGGAGGAACAAAACGCCATAAACATACGGTAGGTTCGCGTCGTGTCGACCAGCGGCGACCCGCGAGGATTTCTTGGGTCCGCGCCGGGGCCCCCCAGCGGCGCCTCCGGCGCCGCCCCTGGCGCGCTCCGCGCGCCAGGGAGGGGGGTCTAGCGCAGATCCAAGAAATCCGCGCAGGGCGCCAAACAGTTTCTGTTTATGGAGTTATCTTTCTTCTATTGGTATACGTTGAAGCTCGCGGAGGGGCAGCGAACGCGATGTGTGCTTCTGGGGCGACGGGGGAGGGAGTCATCCTCGTATGGTGAGGGCAAACCTAAGCAGCCCAATCGCCGGTAAAAGCAAACCTATGATCCGAGCTTCTTGCGAATGGGGGTCGTAAGGATTGCGTTTGACGGATCAAGCGTGCCGGCCGAGCGTATTGGGATCTGGCCTTGGGAACAGCGTTGCCCCCCCAGCGACCTCAAAGGTATACGCGGTTTTCGGGTGACACGGGGGGTCAGAGGAGGAAGAGGTATCGGTACGGCCACGCTTCCTTCGTCTTTGCCTTTTCGGCGCTCCCGGGAGTTCCTCGCCGCCGTTGCTGAAGTCGCCTCGAAGTTCTAGTCAGACGCACCTGGTGGGGGTGGGAGGAGAAGCGACACCAACACCACCAGGGGGCCAGCTCCAGCGGGGAGGTACGCGATGCCACTTCGAGCCGGGGATGGGGGATGTCCCGAGCGAGTGGGGGGGGACCACCCCACTGGGGGACCTCTCCCTGGCTCCTCCGTCTGGTGGTCCCTGGTGGTGTTGGTGTCGGTTTTCCTTGTTTCTACCAGGAAAAGGTCCCCGGAGCATCTCCTCCCCCTCCTCCTCCTCCTTCTCCTCCTCCTCCCCCCTTCCCTAACTACGGCGGTGGAGGTGGAAAAGCGGTCCATCAAAAGGCCACTCTTGCTTTAGGGTCACTCCGTGCGTGTAGCCGAGAGGGCTGGAGAATGTCCGGCACTCGGGATGAGTGCGTCTTCATGGCGAGGCGATGCTGGATCTTTGAGTGCGCGTGTGTCCAGGAAGACGAGGTAGCGCAACCATCGACTTTGGGAGGTCCACGCAGATCTCTTGGGTCGACGGTGGGCCCCGGTGCGCTTCGTGCGCCTCGGGAGGGGGGGGGGACAGCGCCGACCCGAGACATATGCGCGGACCTCCAACGGTGTATGTTTGCGCAGATGTGATCGAATGGCCTTCGACCCATCCACGTGCCACGATTCTGGGCCAGAGTCCTCGGGGATGATTCCTGGGGTCTCTTCGGAGCGCTCTCCCGGGCCTCTAGGGGGCAGTTTCGGAGCCTTTGGGGAGCCTCTGGAGGGTCCCTTGGGAGCGTCTTCGGGGCCTCTTCCCCCCCGTAACCTCCCCCCCGCTCCCTCCCTCGTACCCCCCCCCGTACCCCCCTTGTCAGGGAGGGAACAAAAAGGGAGAGAGTTGGCTTAAATTCGATGTCTCTGTTTGTTTGTTCTCAAGTTTCTTTAGCACTGGCGACAGCGACGGGGAAGACGACAGGGTCTCACACACGCCGAAACGCCGGCGGATTCTCTTTCAGTCGCCGTACACACCCACAAATTCGAGTGGGTCCCTCTTGGGGGGCGCTTAGGGCCGCCTCTCAGGCCATCTTCGGGCTTTTATGAGCCGTCTTGGGCCTTTTGGGCAGTCCTGAGGCCCTCAAGGCAGTCTTTGGTGTTCTTTCGGGCAGTTTAGAGACGCTCTGGCGGCACCGTTGGGCTGTCTCGGGTCCACTTGGGCTGCTTGGAGCAACTCCGCGCAGCCTCTTGGGGATGTCTTGAAGTCCCCTTGGGCAGTCTGGAGCATCTCCTGAGGCCCTCTTGAGCCATCTTGAGGCCCTCTTGGGCCGTCATGGGCCATTGCTGGAGCCCTCTGAGACGCCTTTGGTCCATCTCGAGGCAGTGCTGAGGGCTTCTTGGGCCGTCCTTGGTGCTCTGCAGACCGAGAAGGCGAGCATGCCCACGAAATCAGAAGACATACATGTATATCTATGTACACATGTATAACCGCCGACGGGCAATAATACAGTACCCCCCCCTTTCCTCCCTCCATTTCTTTATTATCCCCGACCACAGGGATCTATATGTGGGGAAGGCGCGGAGGCCGAATTTTATAATCCACGGGAAAGTTGCGGGGATCGATGTTGCGGGGATCGATTTTGCGGGGATCGAAGTTGTTATCGAGGTTTCTTGGCCAGATCGGCTAAGGACCTCTCTTGCGCTGGTAAAGTGTAGGCAGAGCCTCGAGATTTCTCGAGTTAGCCTTACGCCGAGCGCCCCGGTACAATCGTTTATTATCCCCGCCAGAACCCCGAAGTTTCTTACCCCCCGGGGTTTATTATCACACGGTTTCGTTTGTATATATATATATATATACGTATACAGTGTTGCTTCGACGGTTCCCTCATGGTTTCACGGGCATCTTCTCGAAGTCCTTTGGGCCATTTCTAGAGCCCATTGGGATGTCTTCTGGCCATCGTGCGCCGTATTTTGCCCATCTTGGGGGTCTCTTCGGGGCATCTTCGGACCTGTTTGGGCCCTCTGGGGCTGTCTTGGGGCCATGTGGGCCGTCTTGGACTTGCTATGGGCCCCTAGTTTGGCCGTGTGTCTGGGCAGATTGGTTTCATTATGGGTAGTGGAAGGGGCTGTATTAGCGCAGCTTGTGTCGTGGAGTTGATTGTGTCAGTGCAACGAAATATCGGCTTCATGGGTTCCTCCTCGACTATTTCGTCGTCCTCCTCCTCGTCTCCTCCTCCTTGCCATCATCAGCCGAGATGTCTCTACACTTTGCGAGCTGCGCAATTTCGTGGATTTCCGCGCTAAGATGTGCAACCAACATTGATGATTGTTTGCCGATCTAGACGCCAGCGCCCTTGCTGCCGAGTCAGCACGCACATGGGATGCCATGTTGCCGTATCTTGAATATGCCTTTCAGGGTGCATATGAACTTTGGATTGGTGCGTTCCTTTGACAGCCGTTGTCAAATCGGCAACCGCGAACAAGTTGGTGTGAAAGGTACGCATGCGATTGCTTAATCTCGTCCAGCCTTGAAAAAAATCAGGAGTTCGTCCAGTAAGGGGGGCAGTTGTGGGTAATTACACTGGGCGCAGGGAATCTCAAGACGTCGGGCGGCAGTGCCGCACTCTGACCATGCTGCCGTCGCTTTCCTTTTCCCCCTCCTCGCTTCATCTCTTCCCCTCGTGTGCCTCGGCGCATCCGCGATCCCGAAGGCCGCCTCTTCGGCCTCGGGTTTGCTTGAGCGTGTGAGCACGAAGCATCCACACGGATTGGCGCCGCACCTCCTGGATCGGGGCCCAGAGCCGATCGCAGAAATCTGCGCGGACCTCCGACAGTGTGTCCTCGTGTCGTTTGGTGCGCCCCCTCCGCCGCCGCCGCCCCCGGTGCACGGCCGCCGCGGCCCAGCCCGCGGGGCCGGCCGCGCCACGCGCTCGGGGCGTGCCCCGTCCCTTGAGCGGCCTCGCGCCCCCTCGCTCGGCCGCCGCCTCTGCCCCGCAGTTATATTCTGCCCAGCCGCCGACGCAGAAGGAAAGTTTCAGTCGCCAGGCGTTTCGCCGAGGCGTCTTCGATCGCCAGGCGGTTCGCCCTCTGCTGCCCCGCCTGTTGCCCCCCCCCGCAGGCCCTGCTCTTGCCCTGCTGCCTCGACCCCCCCCCCCCCTCGGACGTCGGCAGGCTGGCCGAGCAGGCGGAGCGGTACGAGGACATGGTCCTCCCGCTGCGCACCCGCACCCTTGCCCCCGTGTTCCCGCGCAGCGGCAGCGAGCGAGGAGGGAGGGTCTGCCCCAGACCAGGGCTCGTTTCGGTTCCTCAGATTCGACTCGATTTCGCTGGCCTCCGATTCCGGTGCGATTCGGCTTCGGATTTCGAGTTGGGCTCCGGTTTCTCGATGGAGGCCTACTAGCCTGCCGCTTTCCGCCGATTCGTCTTTTGCCGACTCGGCAGCTGATTTTCGCCGATCCGATTAATTTCTATTGCAGATCCGACATCGATTCGATTCTGGGCTCTACTGTCCACCCCAGATCCCTGCGGGCCATGAGAAACAGTCAGGACGGAATGTTTTTAACAATGGTCGGCCTCCGAAGAGGTCCTTTCTGGGCCTCGCGAGCGTCAAAAAGCGGTTCGGTATAAAACACAGGCCGCGGGGAAGGCGTCCCGACCGCTAGACGGGTCCACGTCATGGAAAAATCACAGCACGTCCGGGGTCTGGATCTATAGTTCGAGAGGATTGGAATTGGTACGGAAAAGATGGGGACACAGACCATCAGCGGTTCAGATTCACTTCGAGCTGGATTTGCTGTCGGTATCGCCGCGGACGTTGTTCATTTGGCACGAACTCTTCTGTTTATCATGAACAACATTCGCTGCTGGACATCGTCCCCGTTTTTCTGGGTCCATTTCGGGCGTTCCCACTGATTCCCCCAAGGGCATAGTTCTGAATACTCGGGTACGGCGTTCAGCTCACCTGTCTTTGAGATGCTTGACCTGTTTTTTCGGGGGCACCCCCCCGAGGTGTTTGGACGGTCTTGGTTCGCTCGTTGCTTCCAGATACCTTCGCAGAACCCCAGAGTCCCCAGAGCGGATTCACAACCACGCTAGGGTCATTTGCAGACCCCTCTTATAATGGTGGCATGGACTTTGGCCGTCTGTGATGTTGCTGGCACGTTGCCAGGGGTAGGCCCGCCCCAAAACGTGGAATTCGGTCTAATCAACCTCGGCAATCGGACCAGCTCTGCCCCAGGTGGATTATATACAAACTATGTACATACATACATATATATATATATGTTATATGTGCATCTCGACATGTTTATACATTTACACATACCTATACGACCACCTTTCGGGTGATAAGGAGGTTGTGTGTGTGGGGGGGAGGGGGGGACACCAACACCTGACTCAATCGATTTCACTATCGATCTCACTCAACGGGACACCACGGGACGCCACGGGACATTTGTCGATCTCATTATCGATCTCATTATCGGTCTCATTCAACGGGACACCGAGGGACACTTCTCGATCTCACGATCGAGCTCATTATCGATCTCACTCAACGGGACACCACGGGACACCACGGGACACCACATCGATCTCACTATCGATCTCGTTATCGATTTCACTCAACGGGACACCACGGGACACCTGTCGATCTCACTATCGATCTCATTATTGGTCTCACTCAACGGGACAGCACGGGACACCTCGGAGCACCACATTGATCTCACTATCGATCTCACTCAAGGGGACACCACGGGACACCACGGGACACCTGCCGATCTCATTATCGATCTCATTATCGAACTCACTTTCTGGAAGTACGGGACACCACGGGACACTTCGGGGCACCACATCGATCTCACTATCGATCTCACTATCGATCTCATTCAACGGGACACCACGGGACACCGCGGGACACCGCGAGCCACCGCCGGACGGACGGACGGACGGACGGGCGGGGGAGAATCATTTGTCTTGACTTCGCCCTAGCAACGGCGGACACCACGGGACACCACGGGACACCGCGAGCCACCGCCGGACGGACGGACGGACGGACGGGCGGGGGAGAATCATTTGTCTTGACTTCGCCCTAGCAGTGGCGGACACCACGGGACACCACGGGACACCACGGGACACCGCGGGACACCGCGGACCACCGCTGGACGGGCGTGAGGGGGAGAGTCATTTGTCTTGACTTCGCCCTAGCAGTGGCGGGTTCATTCCTCTCGCGCGCCCACGCAGTTTTTCCTTCGTCCGCACGCACGACACGAACGAAACGAAACGATTTCCTGGTTTGGGGTCTCCGTTCCATTGCGATCTCACCCCCCAACCTCCGATATATATATATATATATATATATATATAGACCGGGGCACAGGGTGGTCAGGGACGGGAGCGCCGAGCTCCCGGGGCAACCTCTCCAGCGGCCCGGGAGCCGCCCAGACGGCCCCAAGTGGCGTCAAGGAGGCACCAGAATCGGGGGCGGAAAAGAGGGGGGTGATGACTAGGGGGGGGTGGATATCATGGCGTGGGCCATGATATTTTCCCAGATCTCATGGCGCCTCTTCTTATTTCATTACGTCCCTGGCCCCCGCGCTGGGCCGCGCACATGCCGCCGGTCATGACTTGCACCCCCCCCTCTTGGACACCCCCCTCTTGGCCGCTCCCGACAGACGGCCTTAAGTGTCGTCACAGAGACACCAGAAGGCTGCGAGATGTCCCGCGAGGCTGTCGGGCAGCCGCAGATCGATTCCAGACGGTCCAAGAGAAATCGACGAGCGCTCCCCAGGGGGCCCCAAGAGGCACAAATCATTGATCCTCTTTTGGTTTTGTCATGTTGTCGGGGTTCTCGACTTTCGAACATCCGACGCTCCACGACATCCCAAGAGGCCTCCAAGACCGCCCCAAGGCGGCCCAAGAGGCCCCCAAGAGGGTCCCAAGACAGATCCGCAGCCGTTTTGGCTCAAGGCCTCTGCAGGTGCGCGCCCCGCCCCCCTTCGCGCGGCAGACCGCCCGATGGCGCTCCCCACCCGGGTGTCCGCGGCCCTGGCGCTCGTCCTGGCGGCGGCCGGGGCGGCGCCCCCCGAGGGCTGCGCCGCGGCGGCCGAGGAGAGCGACGGGGTGGGGCTGCTGCAGGCGGCGGGCCGCAGCGCGCCGGCGCGGAGCCGCTCCGACACGCCGAGCGGGGGGTGGGTTCCCCGGACTGCGAGGTGCGGCATCGTGGACGTGAAGTGCGGGACGGGCTGCTGCTCGGTGACCAGCACGTGCACCTCGGACCAGAAGTGCAAGCCGCTGTTCGGCGACGTCGTGGAGCCCACCCCAGGCAAGATCGGGTGCCCGATCGCCTTCGCAGACTTCGGCGACGACGGCTGCTGTCCTGTAACCACGTTCGTGGGCCCGCCAGAGACGTGCGTGGAGCCGACGTGCGAGAACATCCTGCAATACAACTGCAACATCACGTCGGGCGGTTCGCCGACCTGCATCAAGGGCGGTGAGTTGCCCGCGGGCACGTCGATTGGCATAACGATCAGTGGCAACGCAGTGACGCCGACTGTCTCGCAGACTTGCACGCTCGACGGGAAGAGCTGCTACAAGTACTCGGTGAACGCTGGAGGTATCAAGATATCGGACGGCATTTCCAGTCCAGATTGTAATTATTGATGGGGGCGATGATCATGCAGTCCCTTTTTGTCCCGAAGCCCCCGAGGCACTGAGTCAGCCGCCGGTGCCAGAGCGCGCGTCCCCCTTGGGACTCATCTCCCTTTCTCCCTTCTTCCTTCTTTCTCCTATTCACACCTCCGCTCCTCCCCTTCCTTCCGCACGGGCGCCGCGCTCCGGCACGGGTGGGCTGGCGCCGCCAGCCGCGACTTTGACGGCGCTCCAGGCGCGAGAGGCGAAACAAAACAGATGGACCTTGCGAGTTATGCGATGTTGGGACCGCAGTTGGCGTGCGAGCCGGTCAAATGGGAAAGTCATGTTCAATATGGCTTCTATTGACGGGAAGACCGAATGATGTCTCAAGCTTCTTGATAACCACGAAGTGTGTTAGTTGGAGCTTGTGGGCTGTCCGAGTGCCGAGCGCCAATGCGCGCAGGGAGTGTGGTCGCGATGTTGTGCAGCACGCTATAGTCGGCGTCACGCCTTTATACTTCGAGGATCGAAGGAGTTGCCATCTCTTCCTCAGCGGAAGGCGGCGGAAGGTCGGCGGAAGTAAAGCGAGGCCGCCTCCGTTGGCGGAAGCCCGCGGAAGGCTGGCGGAATGTGGCGGAAGTAACAGATGCGCCCTCAAGAGATGAAAACGTTTTGGGGTTCAGGGTTTCCGAAATCGCCCATGTTTGCGTCACCCCCCCCGGAGGGCGACGCGCGCACCGAGAAATCTCATAGTAACTATATACGTCGTGGCGGGCGCTTGCTGACCACACCGCTCGGGAAACGATCTACTACAAGATGGGTATACCATGTGTTCGGGTTGGGCGCGCGCCTCCAAGGAGGACAGTATGTGTACGTGCCTGTGCGTATAGGGTTACCCGCGCGGCCTCGGCAAGCTTGTCATGCTTATCGTCGCGGTCCTAGAGCCTTCATGGATGGCCCGCGTGATCCATGCTCGCCTGCTTCCTTTGCAGGAACGCCTGCCCCGCCTGGCGACACCAGTTACGTTGCATCTTCGGGGGGCCTCGTCTTTCCCCCAAATTGACGTTGTTTCTTGTGCCCGACCCGGGTTCGATGCGGACTCAACGTGGATTTGACGTGGATTTGGCGCGGATTCGACGAGTACGACATGGATTCGGCACGTATTCGACGCGGATAGGGACGCAACGGGGCCCCCAAAGATGCAACACAATTCAGAGCCCCGAATAATCAGGTGTAATTCGGGTCAGGGCGAACTCAGGTTCGTTTTTCGGGATTCCGAACCCGAGTTGCCCCAGGCCCGAGTTACCCCGGATAATTCGGGCGCCCAAGCAACACTGGGGCTTGCTATGTCATGCGTTCTTTATGTTCCCGCCTCCCGTCCTCCTCGTTGTCCCTGTCTTTTGTGCCGCCCCCCCACCCCCCGCGTGGCGACGACGAAAGGCAGGCGCCCGTCGCAGTGCTTTCTTCGTCGCTGGTTGGAACCCTACCCGCCTCTTCCTCCGCCCGTCGCGAGCGGCGAACATATCCGTATCCGCGCCGTCGCGGGCCTGGTCTCTGGGGCGCGATCCCGCGGATGCGCGGTCGCACGGCTACGTTCCGCGCGCGTGGCAGCCGCGAAGAGCGCCCCCGCATTTGCAGGATATCGCGGCCCCTGGGCCCGGCCCGCGCGGCCGCGGATACGGATATGTTGTTCGTCCTTGAGCCGCCCGCAAGACGGCCCAAGATACCCTTCATTTGTCGCTAGGATAGGCACCACGGGCTTGAGAATCGGGTTGGTAACCGCTCCGACCATGCAGCAACACTCATCTGCTGGACAATCTAGTTCGGCACTTCTGGGGGGAAACAATGGGGAAAGCAATCCATGTCATTGCTCGCACTGGGGCCATCGAGAGTGTGTGGGCGTCATGGTGGCAGATCAAATACCTTGGTTCCGATACCTGAAACAAGGGACATCAAGGAACAAAGTTTAATCAGACGTGTCTTACATCCAGAGGTCGGCTCGTGATGTCCTGGCCAAATCACGGAAACCAGGAGTTGCTCGCCGATTCGATCCAATTTGCTCAGAACGTTTCAATGGTTGGACTTGTGTTCAGCATGGTGGGTTCAAGATGGACCTGGCGAGTTCCCGCAGCCGTTTTGGATCAAGGCCTCTGCAGGTGCGCGCCCCGCCCCCCTTCGCGCGGCAGACCGCCCGATGGCGCTCCCCACCCGGGTGTCCGCGGCCCTGGCGCTCGTCCTGGCGGCGGCCGGGGCGGCGCCCCCCGAGGGCTGCGCCGCGGCGGCCGAGGAGAGCGACGGGGTGGGGCTGCTGCAGGCGGCGGGCCGCAGCGCGCCGGCGCGGAGCCGCTCCGACACGCCGAGCGGGGGGTGGGTTCCCCGGACTGCGAGGTGCGGCATCGTGGACGTGAAGTGCGGGACGGGCTGCTGCTCGGTGACCAGCACGTGCACCTCGGACCAGAAGTGCAAGCCGCTGTTCGGCGACGTCGTGGAGCCCACCCCAGGCAAGATCGGGTGCCCGATCGCCTTCGCAGACTTCGGCGACGACGGCTGCTGTCCTGTAACCACGTTCGTGGGCCCGCCAGAGACGTGCGTGGAGCCGACGTGCGAGAACATCCTGCAATACAACTGCAACATCACGTCGGGCGGTTCGCCGACCTGCACGAAGGGCGGTGAGTTGCCCGCGGGCACGTCGATTGGCATAACGATCAGTGGCAACGCAGTGACGCCGACTGTCTCGCAGACTTGCACGCTCGACGGGAAGAGCTGCTACAAGTACTCGGTGAACGCTGGAGGTATCAAGATATCGGACGGCATTTCCAGTCCAGATTGTAATTATTGATGGGGGCGATGATCATGCAGTCCCTTTTTGTCCCGAAGCCCCCGAGGCACTGAGTCAGCCGCCGGTGCCAGAGCGCGCGTCCCCCTTGGGACTCATCTCCCTTTCTCCCTTCTTCCTTCTTTCTCCTATTCACACCTCCGCTCCTCCCCTTCCTTCCGCACGGGCGCCGCGCTCCGGCACGGGTGGGCTGGCGCCGCCGGCCGCGACTTTGACGGCGCTCCAGGCGCGAGAGGCGAGCAGAAAAAAAAGGGCCCCAAGACAGACCACGAGGGTCCCAAGATCCCCAAGAGGGCCCCAAGAGGAGCCCACGAGTAGGAACCCGAGCCCGAAAGGACAATTCGAGCCTTCCGTCCCACGATGCCCTCAGACGGCCCAAGAGGGCTCGCCGAGCGCTTCCCAGATGGCCCCAAGAGGCAAACACCATTGCTGTCACACGGTTATTCAATGTTTCCTGGGTTCTCGACTTTGACTGACACACACGGGCAAGTACGAGCGAACAGTCTTGGAATGATTGTTGTTGTTCTTGTTGTTGTTGTTGCTGTTGTTGTTGTTGTTGTTGTTGTTGTTGTTGTTGTTGTAATTGGTGTACTTGTTGTTGTCGCCGTGTCACCCGCGACCCACCCAGCGACCCACCCCGCGACCCACCCCGCGACCCACCCCGCGACCCACCCGCGACCCACCCGCGACCCACCCCGCGACCAACACCCCGCGACCCACCCCGCGACCGATTTGCGACCCATCTGCGACCCACCCGCGACCCACCCGCGACCCACCCCGCGACCCATCCTCAAGGAAGGAGAAAACACCTGGACCCGACAATAGACGTTTACTAAACGGCCCTGGGCGTTGACTAAACAGCCCTGCATTGTTCGACTCATTCCTTGTGTGCGTTTACTAAACGGGTTCGCTTGCCGGGGTTATTACTATGGGGTGGATCTTCTGCCCTCTACACCCGCGACCCATTTGCGACCCACCCGCGACATGCCCACATTGGTTGAACGAACAAATCGGTGATTGCGGCGGGCTCGTTGCAGGAATTGTGAAATTTGAGCGCCTGCGGCGGGCTTCTCCGGAGTCTCGCAAACTGCCGACGTCCCCACCGCCCCCTCACTCTTATCCGCATCTGTGGGGTGCTACATCTTTTTTGTTTGTCGTCCAAAACCCGCCTGTGCGGAGAGGGCCGCACTTAGTTCGGTGACCCCGTCGCTGGCGTTCAACGCTAAGTGCCGTCGGCGACCCAGAGACCAGGGGAACGAATAAAGACACCAGCATAGAAGCTCGGAGGTCCGCGCGGACTTCTCGGATCCGCGCCGGGGCCCCCTGGCGGCGCCTCCGGCGCCGCCCCTGGCGCGCTCCGCGCGCTGGGGAGGGAGGTCCAGCGTCGATCCGAGAACTCCGCGCGGACCTCTGAGTTGTTATGTTTATGTCATCCTTCCTTCCCTCAGTGACCGCGCTCCATTCGGTGACCTTGTCGCTGGCATTCAACGTTGAGTGCCGTCGGCGACCCAGAGTCGGTCGATCGATACTGGACGGTCCGCTGTTTCGGGAACGACCGGTCGTTCGAGGTTGGACGATCCCTGCGGTGGTAGAGGCCAAGTCAGGGGTCGGCACGGCACGATCTTGCCGTACGCTGTGCCACGTGACTTCCCCAGGACCCAGAACAGTGTTCATCAGCCTCGTCCTCCGAATGCTCCCTCTGCGTACAGTCGGGGCCCTGAAGAAGGAACCCTTTTCGTTGGGGAGGGGCTCGGTGTGCCTTAATTGTTCCACACCTTGCCCAAGGTTTTCCCTAAGTTTTCGATGTGAAGTCGAAGGTCGACTTATGAAAAAAAGGGGCCTCGTTCCGTATTTTGGGTTCTTTAGGTCAACGCCTCGACTGTATTCTGGCAATCCACTCGAGTACGATTCCATGATGTCCCCGTGCCCCCGGCTCGCAGGTCGAGTACATGAAGCGCGTCGCATTGATGGGCTTCGAATTGAGCAGGGCGCTCAGACAGTTTTGGGGGTCTTCGGGCGGTTGAGGAAGACGCACCTAGACCTCCTCCGTCGCGATTGTTGAAACACCCGTGGGTCCAACATCTCTCCACTCTTCCATCAAGATCATCTTTGCACTGCAGAAAGTAATTTGAAGGTTCCAGGGCGTAGATACTGCTCCTGGAGGCCGAGATCGACTTTGCCAGGATCAGGAGGTTCCGTCCGCCAGGGGCCAGGGCAAGGGGGGAAAGAGGAGGACAGCGACGACGACTCGGTATGCCAAGCCTTTGCTCACAGGTGAATGAATTCGGCGATTCGCGCGTGCCTCCAAAAGGCCAGGTTTTTGTCCATCACCATCCCTCCCCGTGGGAGGGTTTGGGCCAGGAGCAGGGGGGAGTGGCCAGAGCCTCGATCGCCTACAATCGAGGCGCTGAGACAAGGACCGCCCTGGGCTCAGGAGCGGCTGTGCTTCTCGGGCCGGACCTCAGATGCAGGTCGGGGAGCTTGCTCGCGCGCCCGAGGCCCGCCGTGGCCAGAACAGCTCCCTCGGCATCCCTCCGCAGTCCTGGAGGCAGGTCGCTCGATGGCTGCACCGGTTGTCCGACCGCCGGCCTCCACCCCCACCCACAGCAGCGTCCGCACCGCCCCCGCCCTCATCCCTCGTCTTCTCCCCCTTCCCCTCCTCCCCGGGGAGGACGAGGAGCGGCGGCGACGACGCCGCGGGAGCAGAGCGTCCAGTCGGCGGTGCCTGCGCCGCCACTTGGGGGCTTCTCGGCGGCCTCGAGGGCTGTATGAAGGCCATCTTGGGCGTCTCGGACCGCTTGCTCGGTGACTCGGAGCGCTTTTGCGCTGTCTGAGACATCACTTGGGGCCCTCTTAGCGCGCTCTGGGGGGCCTCAGAGACCGCGCCCAGGAGCAAAACCATCCCTGAGTAAAGGGTGGCCCGGCTGCTGGCCGGGCTGCGCCCGGGCGGCGGTCGGAATACTTTTCGCCAGGAGACCCCCAGGCCGCCCCGCGCGCACGAACCAGAAATATTGTTAACCAGTTACTGGAGACCTTAGCACGCCTCTGGCCCGTTAAGCCGGCGAGTTATTATCATTACTACTACGGCTACTACTGCTAGTGCTATTACTACTACTACCACTACTACCACTACTACTACCACTACTACTACTACTACTACTACTACTACTACTACTACTACTACCACTACTACGACTACTACTACTACTACTACTACTACTACTACTACTACTACTATTACTACTACTACTTCTTCTTCTACTTCTTCTTCTACTACTACTACTACTACTACTACTACGACTACTTCTACTGTCACTACCACTACTACTACCACTACTACTACTACTACTACTACTACTACTACTACTACTACTACTACTACGTCTACTACTACTTCTACCACCACCACTACTACTACTACTACTACTACTACTACTACTACTACTACTGCTAGCACTACTACTGTTGCACTACTGCTATTACGACGACTACTGCCACGACGACTACGGCTACTACTACGACAGCGGCTACTACAGCTACTACAGCTACTAGAGCTACTACTACTTCTTCTTCCACTACTACTACTACTACCACTACTACTACTACGACACTACGACCACTCCTACTACTCCTACTATTACTACTACTACTACTACTACTACTACTACTACTACTACTACTACTACTACGACGAGTACTACTACTACGACTACTACTACTACTATTTCTAATGCTACTACTAAAAATAATACCACGGTTTCGACTACTACTACTGCTACTATTGTTACTACTACTTTTACAACTACTACTACTATTACAACTACTACTACTACTACTACTACTACTACTGCTACTACTACTACTAATACTAATACTAATACTACCACTACTACTACTACTACTTACCACGTACTACGTACTACGTACTACTACTACTACTACTACTACCACTACTACTACTACTGCAACTACTACTACTACTACTACTACTACTACTACTACTACTACTACTACTTATACAACTCGGGCTACTACCACTACTACTACTACTACTATTACTACTACTACTACTACTACTAATACTACTAATACTACTTATACAACTCGGGCTACTACCACTACTACTACTACTACTACTACTACTACTACTACTACTACTACTACTACTACTACTACTATTACGACGGCTACTACTACTACTACTACTACTGCTACTACTACTACTACGACCACTATTGCCACTACTACTACCACTACTACTACGATTACTACAACCACGACGGCTACTACTACTATTACTACTACTACTACTACTACTACTACTACTACTACTACTACTACTGACTACTAACCTCTACTACGACTACTACTACTACTTCTACTTCTACTACTACTACGACTACTACTACTACTACTGCTGCTGCTGCTGCTGCTGCTGCTACTACGTACTACTACGGCTACTACTACTACTACTACTACGACTTCTACTACTACTACGACTACGACGACTACTCTTACTACTACTACGTACTACTGCTGCTATTACTACTACTACTACTACTACTACTACTACTACTACTACTACTACTACTGCTACAACTTCTACGGCAACTACTACTACTCATTCGACGATGACTACTGCTACCAGTCATGCTGCTACTACGACTACTACTACTACTACTACTACTACTACTCCTACTACTACTACTACTACTACTACTACTACGACTACTACTACTGCTACTTCTACTACTACTGCTACCAATCCTACTACTACTACTACTACTACTACTACTACTACTACTACCACCACCACCACCACCACCACGACTACTATACTACTACTACTACTACTACTACTACTACTACTACTACTACTACTACTACTACTACTACTACTACTACTACTACTACTACTACTACTACTACTACTACTACTACTACTACTACTACTACTACTACTACTACTACTACTACTACTACTACTACTACTACTACTACTACTACTACTACTACTACTACTACTACTACTACTACTACTACTACTACTACGACTACGACTACGACTACGACTACGTATACTACTGCGATCGCGACGGATACACGAGCGCTACTAGTAGAACTGCTACCAGGACAATGGCGACGACTGCGACTACGACTACGACCACCCCTGCTACTACTCCGCCTCAGCAGTCTTTTCCCCCACCGAGGCCTGGACGAAAGGAACATGCTGTCCGTGGCCTACAAGAACTCTGTCGGGGCCCGAAGGCACACCTGGGGAGCGCGGGCACGGGAGGCTCGGACGGAAGTGGAGGGAGGGCGGAGGGGGAGACGGGTTCTCGCTGAGGAATAGGGGAGCTGGAGGAGGGGCAGGAAAAGGAGGAATCGAGGGACCTTCGCAGAGGAATCGGGGAGGGAGAGGAGTTGGAGGGAGTGAGGGATCCTCCCCCTCCCCTCACATACTCCCCCCACGCGCGGGCTAAGCAGGAGGAGGAGGAGGATGAGGAGGAGGAGGAGGAGGAGGAATTTCGCGATTTGTTGTTTCTTGGGGACAATTTCGAGCGGAGTTCGGAGTCAGATGGAGGAGGTTGATGAGGAGGAGGAGGAGGAAGAGGAGGAGGAGGAGTGGGGGCAGGAGGAGGGTCGAGGTGTTTGAACGTGATTCGGAATCTTGAGGTTATTCGAGACTTGCATATACCTCCAAAGGTGACCACCTCTCCAGGGCCTCCAGGAGCAGGATGCCAGGGAGCTGCAGGGCACCCCAAAGTATCTCGTTCCAGGGATGATCAGAGAAACCGCGATACAAGATCGGCAAGGAGGTGCAACCACAACAACAACCTCCTTCTCCACCTTCTCCGCCTTGTCCTCCTCCACCTCCTCCTCCTGCTCCTCTTCTTCCTCCTCCTCCTCCCCTCCTCCTGCTCGTCGTCGGCGACGGTCGACGATCCAAGTGTCCGGGCGTTCTTGGGCGGTTCGGGGCGTCTCTGGGCGCTGTGGCGGCCTTTCGGGTGTAAGCTGTTGGCTTCCCGCGCCAGCCCACCCAGAAACGATCCCGGGCAAGTTGCATGGGCCAGGGAAGTGTTCGAAGTTCGGGATCAGCCAGGGCAAACCCAGGAGTTCACCACGCAGGCCGTCGCGGATCGTTCGGTCTGGAAGCTTCTAGGAGATCCCTCGGGGCCATCTTTGGGCGCTGCTGGGGCAATTCCGGAGACCCTTTTGGGGCTTCCTGCGCATGGGGGCCTCTTGGGGCAATATCACACGGTATCCATCAAAAAGGGCGCTCTTTAGTCAGCGCCGCCTCTCTCGAGCCTGACAAATCGCCTCTCGTTACCAGCCTCGAACGCATCCCTATCCCTAAGATTGACATGCCAAAAGGCGATGACAATCTCAGGGATTCGCCTTCAAAAAATAAGGGAATGCCTAAGATTGGCATCGTGATGAGGAGGTGCCCAGCATAGGGATAGGGATATGTTCCAGGCTGGTAATCTCGGAGCACTCTCGGGACGCTCTGGGGACTCTTGGGACTCCTGGGGACGTTCGGGGCAGATGTGCGGCCCTCTGGCCTCCTTCTCTGCGCTCTCTTGGACGATTTTGGGACCACCTGGAAGCCTCAGACGCCCATGGGAAGCGAAACGGCGAGCCAGCAAACAGCTGTTTGGCCTCTCGGGGCGTTTTCGGAAGGCTTCGAGGCCACTCGGAGCCGTCTTGCGGCAGCCTTGGAGCTGTTTGAAGCATCATGGATGCGACATTGAGCTATCTATCTGGTGTCTCTGTTGTGATTTCGACGGCCTGTGGAGGGCATCGTCGGCTAAACGCTAAAGGTCTTAAGTGTAAGTCCCCCCCTTTCTCTCGGCAGAGAATAGGACTGGTCCTAAAACCTCCTCCACCTCCTTGTCCACCTCCTACTCCTCCTCCTCCTATCATCGTCGTAGCTTCGCGGTGGGTGCCGCGGACAAATAATTAGCTACTCCTCCTCCTCATATCATCGTCGTAGCTTCGCGGTGGGCGCCGCGGAGAAATCATCAGCTACTCTTCTTGGTGGGGCCCCGGTCCTTCAGAGAGGCAGCCGAAAACATAATACGTGGGACCCCAGTCCTTCAGAGAGGCAACCGAAAATAACTATTTACTCTTATTGGTGGGACCCCAGTCCTTCAGAGAGGCAGCCGAAAACAGAATGCGTTGCGCCTATTGTGACGAACGAGCAACACACACCCGTACCCATAGGGGGGTCGTTGAGAGGATGACTGGCTATGGGTATGGGTGCGGGTTGTCGGACCTGAGGGAACGCTCCCGTTCGAGCGGGGACCCCCATCCGACAACACTCACCCATAGCCCTCTCCGACCCCCCTATGGGTATGGGTGTGTGCTGTTGGTTCGTCATACTGGGGAGGTCTAAAAACCTGTCAGGTTCTCCGAGGTCACCTTGGGGCCACCTACGGTGCTCCAACTAGTTTTACGTCGAGCGTGTCCCCCTACGAGGGGACCTTCGACGAAGAATTAGAAATACCCCAAACATGCCCCAAGAAGGTCAAAAACTATTCAAAAAATAGTCACCTGATCATTTTTGGATTACTTTTTGATTATGTTGGGGGTATTTTTTGTATTTTTCGTCGAAAATCCCCCTGTAGGGGGACAGGCCCGACTTAAAACTAGTTGGCCCCCCGACCGCACAGGGGAGAGGCCCCCCCCTCTCAAGGCAGGCGTGCGGACTCTGTCCGCGTCCCCGCGGGCGTGCGGAGACCGGCATGGCACGAGCGCCGCCCGGGGATCCGCGCAGGGCCGGGAACCAGCCTCGGGGCCGCCATGGCACGAGTCTGCCGGACGTCAAGGGCATACAAAAACGCCCCTACCCTGGTTTACAAGGCGCTGTGCGCTGAAGCTCCTGTGGGCTCGCAGGGTAAACCCTGCGTGATGTGCCGCGTCCTGGCGGCTCTAGGCTTAGGGGGGTCCCAGGAGGTTTACAGACCACGCACTTGTAACCTAGGGTAGGGCCGTTTTTTCATCCCTCGGGCGGAAACAAACCTACCTCGCTTTTGACCACCCTCGCTTCCAAGAGATACCAAGCGATGCCAAACTACGGCCTGTACTGGTCAGGCCGCTTGACGAGGAGGCGCATGGTATGACTTGGTTTTTCCTGGAAGCGAAAGCGGGGTAGGTAATTCACGCTCTGAATCCCTCGAGTACGCTCGTGGGCGCGGCGGGGGCCGCAGAGGAGCGGTCCACCCCGTGAGCAGCCAGACGTGGCGTGGTGTGCGGTGGTGCCGCTTGTGGCATGCGTGCTTCGATCATCCGTGTCGGGTTCGTGTGCTGCTGTGTTGGCCACCGTGGACTCGAAACCGTGTGTTCCAGCACACTCTGTTCGGGGGAGCGTAAGACCCGGGTTTGCCAGGACTCGGGTTCGCCATCGTTTTTTGACGACCGCGCCTCGGATTTTGACGAGGAGGAGTTTCGTGGGATGTCTGCAGCGGGAGGCCTCGTCAAAATGCAGGCTCGGCCTCGTCATTTTTTTGACGACCTCGTCGGGGATTCCCGAGTCCCCTGTACCCAGGTCTTACGTCCCCCTGATCTGTGGTGCCATACGAGATGCACGCCATGTGGTGCAATGTATGTGTCGTAAAATGAGTACTGCAACACATGTGGTGTGAGTTACGGGGTGTAATTGACGTTGTGTCTAATGGCCTTCGGCCCATCCCACCACCTTGCCTGGCTTGTGGGTCTGAGGCCTCCTGGATGGTCGCTGGGATCTCGTCGAGGCCTCTCGGGGGCCTCCTGGAGGCAATGTTGTGGCCTTAGGGGGGCGAGTTTGGGGACTCTTTTGGGCCTTTGGGGGGCCTCTTGGGACCTCCTGGGGGCCTCACTGGGGCCTCTCAAGCTACATCGTCTGTATGCCTCGAATGGCACCAAGCAAATACCAGTTGAGTGATACCGTCTGCATGCATCAAGTGGTACCTTCGCAGATGATATGATTCGAGCGGTACCAAGCAAGTACCACTTGAGCAATAAGAGAGCTCGAAGTGTCGTTTCGTGTTCCCCCTCGCGGGCCCCTCTTCGGGCATGATTGGTGCTTTTTGGATGTTCGTTGCGATCTCGTGGGAGGCCTCTCGGGGGCCTCTCGGGGGCAGTTTGTACTTCTCTTGGGGGCCCGTTGGGGGCCTCTTTTGGACCCCTGGGGAGCCTTTTGGGGCCTCGGGGCGCCTCTTGGGGCGGAAAGCTTGGATGTTCGGTTCGTGTTTCCCCTCTTAGGCACCTTATGGGGCCGTCTTTGAGCCCTCTTGGGTAGTCTGGGACGCCTCTTCGGTCGTCTTGGCGCCCTCTTAGGCCAGCCTGGGGTCCTCTTGGGGGCCTCTTGGGCCGTCTTGGCGCTCAGACGCTCCAAGACTTGGAGCGTCTGAGCGACGAACATTCGGAAACACTCAAATCTGTCGAAAACACCAGAGAACTTTACGAGTTTGAAGCTCTTGGAGCTCTTGTTGGAGTGCTCTTGGAGCTCTCTTGGGGCCTCTTGGCAGCCTCATAGGCCGTCTGGGGAACATCTTTGGGCGTCTGGAACCGATCGTTCAACTATTCGAGGGCCTCGTGGATCGTCTGGGGGCTCTCTTGGCCCAACTTGAGGCCTTCTAGGGACAGAACACGTCATGCGACAACATGCCCCCGCACGCGGGAAGCCCCAGGAGGCACGCTTGGAGCCCCAGGAGATTTGGCAATTTCGGGCCCGGACCTCTCAAGTATTCCTGAGGATTGGGGACAGGTTTCAGGGATTAGGCCAAGGACCTGAGGACACTCCAACTCGTGCCTCAAGGGCACGGTGGCGGATATGTGCCACACTCTTCGTGTAGTGTACGAGGCGCATGCATTGCAATGCATTTCTATGCAAAGCAGTGCAAAGCAACGCAAGGAACGCAATGCGAATGAATGCAGTCCAGTGCAAAGTAATGCAAATCAGTCCAAAGCAAACCAGAAGCAATGCAGCACCCTTCCAAGCAGTGCAATGCCATGCAGCGCACAGCAAGGCAACGCCATGCGAAGCAGTGCAAAAAGCGGGCGACGACGAGGCGACGGGCGGCGACGAGGCGGCGACGGCGGCGACGCGGCGGCCAGAGCGGCCCGCAGGCCAAGGGCGACGACGGAAGGCAGGCGGAGGCGAGGCGGCGACGGCGGCGAAGCGGTCGGAGCCGCGCGCTGGCACCCAGGCGGCCAGACAGCGGCGGCGAGGCGGCGAGGCGGCGCGGCGACGGAGGCCACACAGCGGCGGCGGAGGCCACATGGCCGCCGGACCGTCGCGCAGGCCCAGCTCCTTAGAGAACCAGGAAGGGCCCCTACGTGCAAGCTCTGTCTGGGGAACATGGCTTACTCGTCGGCAAGTTCTGTGGCCGCAGCGCTTTGATCTCGGGATCGCTTGTCACGAGCCCAGTGCCGGCAGCCGCTCTGCTGCGCAGGCAGGCCTGGCGTGCGATCAACCAGCTGGAGACGAGGGAGGCCAACAAGGCCCCGGGCCTATCTTCAGCGGCCAGCGCGGGCGCGAGGGGCGGACGCCGATCAGGTGCAGAACGCTTTGAAGTGGTTGCAACACCGCACCCATCGAGTCAGAGCAAGGGGGGCGTAATCTGGCGCTCGAGCGCTAGAGGTATATCCTTCCAAGTGGTAGGTGTGATATGTTTTTCCTGCGGCGCAACGTGCCAGGTTTTCTGGAAGGCCAGCTCGTCATGCTTGCTGAAACGATGGTCCCGAGAGACGTGCGAGAGCTCGAAATATCCACAGATGTGTAACTTGTGTGCTCCTTCGCCGTGTCGGGTATCTTCGGTCACTGGGAGCCACAGCCACGGCCTTGTCCGACAGTGGGGAGGCAGCTGAAGAGGGCTGAGAGGACGACGAGGACCGAGGACCGATCGAGCACCGATCGAGCACCGAGGACCAGGAGGACCGATCGAGCACCGAGGGACAGTGGGGAGGACGACGAGGACCGATCGAGCACCGAGGACCAGGAGGGCCAGGAGGACGAGGAGGCGGTGCATCCCGGGGCGGTCCTCCCCCCGGCCTGCGGGCGGGTGGCAATGGGGGGTGGCCTAGATGGGGGGGTGCAGACAAATGCCCCAACTGGCCCCTTTAGGGCCTCGTGTGGAGCCAGCAGGGGGCCTTTAGGGCCTCTCTCGTCACCCCGATTTGGGTCACTCCCCATTGCCACTCGCCCGAAGCCCTCCGCCACCCTGGCCTCCCCGTCGAAGTCTCCGTGGGACTCCCACATTTCCTACACCCCCCACCGAGCCCCCGCCACCCGCTTCCCGCCCTGAGCTCCCCCGCCCCAGTGGGCCGCGTGATTCTCCTGTTGTGTCTCCTCAGGTTCTCCCTCCAATTCTACACGGTTCGCGTACAGTGGAAGCCCAGAGCGATCCACCTCCGCGTGTTTATGGTCGCGCCGCCGCGTCATTTTGGTTGCGCTTACTTGCTGATCGCCACCGGGATTTCCAACGCCACCGGGTTTGGGAGTATCGGTTCTGGCTCTCCTTCTGAGTGGCTGCCCGCTCGCTCGCTTCGTTTGCCTTTCTTTTCCTGCTGCCGAGTCGCGGCCCGACGAGTGTTCGGACGGCTTTTGACCCGCCTCGCGAGCCGGTTGACCCACAAAATGCAGTGGAAACCCATGCCAAGAAACACCCTGCTTGCCTCCAGGGTGCCCTGGGCTTCTTGGGTTTCGATGGTTTTGCCGTGGAAGGTGGGGAAGCCGTCGTACCCCAAGACGGGGAGGATGGAGGAGGAATCAGAGGAGGATGAGAAAGAGGAGGAGGAGGAAAAGGAGAGGAGGCGGGATGAGGAGGGACGAGTGTAAATCCCAAAACATTAAAAAGCGAGATTGAATACATTCTCCCGCCAAGTTCCCTCTCCACAGGCCTGGACAAGGATTCATGTTTACTGAAGTGAGTTCCCCACTTTATCAGCATCGTCTACGCCCGGAACTCTTGTTTCCTCTCAGTCGCGGAGCCCGATTCGGCGGCAGACGGCAAGGATGTTCTTTATCACCTGTCTTTTTTGCGGTGGAGGGCGAATTGCTACTTCGCCGCCTGGCCAGACCGGTCCCCGACTCGTGCAGGCGCGCGTAATTGCGCAGATCACTCGGCCATGGTCGTGAAAGACATCGGGCCGGCTGCACCCCTCATCGAGAGTATCCTCGTGGAGTACGAGCCCCTCTCTGGGCTGCGACCCCATCGTGGGAAGACCGTCCGGGCCCCTCTCCGCCCTGCCGCTGTGGATCACACTCGTCAGCTTCGAACGCGAAGCGCCCCGACGCTCGCCGACTTCCGCATCCGCTGCCACGCCGAGCGCGTGGGGATCGCTCTCGGGCCAGAGCGCGGCACTCACGCCGAGCACGGCGCGTTGTGAGTACGTGGAGCGCGCGCAGCAGCTCGGGGGCCAGACGGGATACGGGGCATACAGGTTCTTTGCACATCGTGTTCACGTCGCCTCTTACTTGGCATTATTGGGGCGATTGCATGGCATGCCGGACGAGTTCGAGGAAGCAGACCGACGTGCGTGTGCAGTCCTCTTCCGCGGCCCCCGGGGCTGGCTACCTTCATCATTTTTGAGTGCCCTTCGGCACCTTCGCAGCTCGGTGGGAATCCCGGACATCCAGGGGACGGCGCTGGCGGCCCAGTGCCGCGTGGCGATGTGGGAGGACCACTGCAAATGCGGCCTCCGAGTGGACGTGGGTTTCGCTGCTCTTCGCCGCGCCTACATGACCTGCAACTTCCCCGATTGGGATGCCGCCTGGAGCAGTTGGTGGGACACGGCTTCCGTTCACCAGCTGGCTGCTGCCACGCTGCTGGCGCGCACGCGGGGGTATGATCCCGCCGCCATGCTGGTCTGGCTGGCCGGCGCTGCGGACGGGACAGACCGAGAATCCGCAGCGCGGAAAAATTGGCAGAGGGAGTGTGCGAAGATAGTCCGGGTTCTGGCTGTGGACGGGGTGATCCGGCATCTCCGGCGACAGCCAGGCCGCTTCGAGCTGGCGATCGTCCAGGGGCATCGGGTGAGCAGGGCGATCAGCTTGCTACAACGCCTGAGCGCAATTGTGCCGCCGCGTGTGTGGCATGCGTCCTTCCGCACGCTCCTGGATGGTTGGGCTACGGCGGAACGCATGGGAGGCTGTGCCACATGCATTTCCGGCTGTGCCGCCCGGGACGGCTTGCGCCATTTCTGTTTTGTGCCCCGCCGTCCGACGCTTCTGCAGGGACGAGCTCGGATTGCAGGCGCCGCCGCTTGGGCTGCAGGGCGATGGCCTCTTGGGCCTGAGGCCTGCCATGTCGGACGTGAGTCGGGCCGGGCGAAAGGGGGGGATTGGGAAAGGGGGGGTTACGAAATTTGCTGCATGCAGCTGATTTCGGCCTCACCGAGGGGCCCATTCCTCGATACATAGCCGCCTCCGGCGCCGGGAGGCGCCGGGAAAATCAGCTACGTGAGCTGATTCTCAAACCCCCCCTTTGCTATCCCCCCCTTTCGCCCGGCCCGAGTGAGGAGACCGTCTTGCGCCCCCTTTGGCGAGTTACGCTTTTGATTCTGCACGCTGTCGCTCGCGACACCGAGGCCTGCGCGCCCAGGCCGTGGGCGGCGCCACGCTACCGTTGATCCGCGGCGCCAGCGTCGGCTTCCCTCGGCGCGCGCACGCGCGGCGTGGAGCGCAAGCGCGACGCCTTGGTGTTTCCGTGGCCTCCAGATTGCGTTGTCCTCTCCTCCTCCGCCGTCCTCCTCCTTCCCCCTCCTCCTCCCTTTCCCTCCTCCTCCTCTTGCGCTCTCGGCTGCGTTGTCTGTGGAGACGTCCACCGGATTCCTGAGGTCAGAATTCCCGACGGGGGGGGGGCACCATGTTCAGGAGGGAAAGAAGCACACAGACACTATTAATCGTCGATCCCCAGGAAAATAGAGGAAAATATGGGAAGTGGGGGGGAAGACAGAACGCCAGAAAATATTGGAAAATATGGGGGATATTTTAATGTGTGTGTTTTTATGTGTGTGTCCTGGGGCCCCTTCAGATGTGTCCGCCCTCCGAGGCAGAGGCCTCCAAAAGCCCACTCGGGACAGGCTGTTGGCTTCCGTGCTGCTTCGACTCCGCTTGCGAAGGCAGAGGCTCCGACCCTGCGGCGCACGGCGTCCATGGAAGCAGGGCGTGCGCACAGACTGCGCTGGTTCCCGCGTGCCGAGGGCAGAGCTTGGCGTGGTCAAGCCCGCCGGTGCCCGCGTGCCGTTCCCCCGTCTCCCTCCCTCCTCCAGCCCGTGGCATTTGTTTGGTTGTTCTCCAGTCTGCGAGTCGCCGCGTCTCGTGGCCGATGCTGGAATCAACCAGGCAACCACAAAAGGGGTTCGTCAGGGATGCCTCCCTTCCCCTCCTCTTCCTCCTCCTTTCCTCCTCCTCCTCCTCCTCCTTCATTGTACTATCCTTGCTCACATCGAGCCCTGGACACGATGAGGGACAGGGGCGGTCTCTTATCTGCGGCTTTTGCAACGCAATTCCTGGCCAGGTCGGTCCATGTGGTATTCACTCTCCTGCCCGTGTCCGGGGCCATTGCGTTTTCCCTGGGTTTCGATTGATTCCGTTCTCGGGGACATTAGGTTCCATTCCTTTCTTTCCTCTCCTCGCCCTTTCTCCCCTCTGTCCTCCTCCATCCTCCTGTCTTGATTCGCACGGGCGCTGTAGCTTGGCACTTCTGGCTCTGGGTGTGGATGCATTGACTCGTTCAGTGTAGCTCTTACGTTTTGCGGCTGGGTAGGCCCTGGGTTACATGAGTCAGGCCTGGGCCTCGAAGGCCGAGGGCTGATGCATTGCAGTATTTTGCGTGTTGCCTTTTCTCTCCTCGTTCTCCTGCTCCTGATGTGGTGACATTCGCCAGGCTGGCCCTTGTAGCGCGCTGCCGCTTTCGTGCCCGAGTTCGCTCGTGATGGATGCGGCTATAGCCCCCATGAGGGGAAACGGGTCTGAAGCATGTTGCCCTTGGACGGGCATCGTGCGTGTGCGCTCCGCGGTCGTGTTTTATGAAAAAGGGGGAACTGCCCCCTTGGAAGTCCACCGTTGGACATCCCGAACTGTGCCAGAGCACCATTCCTGGGACGTCAACGCCGCGAGTCACCGTTGCCGCTGCGTCGTGTCTGTTGAAAATCGTGCCAGAACACCAGGACTTCAACACCGCAAGTCAAGATGACTGCTGCGCCCCGACATGCAAACATCGTGCCAAGACCCAATGTCTGGTACGGTGGCCGTCAGATGCCTTGAAGCGGCTGCAAACTCTTAAGACGAGTTTGCGTGGCGCTGAGGCGAAAGCCACATTTTGAAAACAGCAGCCTTCCATCCGTGAAACTCTCGCAGGCTTCAAGACGAATGTGCGCGGCGCTTTGGCGAGAACCACATTTCGAAAGGGGACCGCCCTCCATCCGTGCAACTCTTGTAAACTCCAAGACAAACGTGCGCGGCACGAAGGCGGGATTCTCATTTTGAAAGCGGGCCGCGCCCCATCCGCGAAATTCTTTGCAAACTTGTAAGACGAATCTGCGCGGCGCCAAGGGGAGAGCAACACTTTGAAAACTGCCCGCCCTCCATACGTGAGGCATCTGCAGTTGTTCAAGCTTCATGATCATAGGTGGTCAGGGAGTCTTTGGCGAAACGCATGGCCCGCCTTCTCGACCGGTCTCGGGGCGCGGCAGAGAGAATGTATGTTTAAAGAAGAGGGATGAAGGGAGGAGGGTGGATGAGGAGGAGTGGGCGGATAAGGGGGAGGAGGAAGAGGAGGAAAAGCAGGGCGAGCAGAATTGCTAGAGGCGTTTTGGATGCTTCTCGGATTATCTTCGGCTTTCTCTTGAGAGTTTCTTGGCGTCCTCCCGGGGCGTCTGGGGGTCTCTTGGCGGCCTGGGGTGCCTCTTAGAGCGTGTTGGGTGCAACGGGGGAGTTTCTTTTAGCCTATGTGGTGTCTCTTGGGAGCCTGTTGGGCACCTCTTGGGGGCCTGTTTGGGCCTCCCGGGCGCCTCTTGGGGCACTCTTGGGAGCGTTTGGGGCCACTTTGGGGCCACCTTGGAGGAACTCGATCACAGGAAGGGTGGCCCATGTCAGGCCCCCTCCCCAGGAGGCCAACATGGGCCACACCCAGGTCAAGTCAATGATTCGTGCCTTCTCGCCGAGGCCGTCCTGGACGCTCCAACGGGTCACAACATCCCCTGTCCAGGTCCAGGGGGAGGGGGTTAGGAGGAGGGTTGGGCCCTTCCCCGAAGGGGGGAAGGAGGACGGTTAAACGAGGATGCTTCTAAAACCACTCACGACCAGACTAATCCCCTGCCAAACGATTCTTCCCGAGTCTCCTGGCCCACGCCGCATATCGCAGTGGGATATTGTACCCAGTGAGGAGACGGAAGAGGAAGAGGGGTATAGGTGGAGGAGGCAGAGAAGGCGGAAGAAGCGGAGGAGGAGGAGGACAAGGAGGAGGAGGGGAGGATTCAACGTGAGGGAGCCGACGGATGGCAGCCGGCGGTCTGGAGGAGCGGACCCGACGTCTCGGAGCCGTTGGTTGTGAGCCAGCGGTCTGAAGGCATAGGAGAAGGAGGAGGAGGAGGAGGAGGAGGAGGGGGAGAAGGATAAGGAAGAGGAGGACGGGAAAACAAGTAGTTGTAGCAGTCGTAGTCGTAGTCGTAGTCGTAGTCGTGAGGTGGTAGTAGTAGTAGTAGTAGTAGTAGTAGTAGTAGAAGTAGTAGTAGTAGTAGTAGTAGTAGTAGTAGTAGTAGTAGTAGTAGTAGTAGTAGTAGTAGTAGTAGTAGTAGTAGTAGTAGTAGTAGTAGTAGTAGTAGTAGTAGTAGTAGTAGTAGTAGTAGTAGTAGTAGTAGTAGTAGTAGTAGTAGTAGTAGTAGTAGTAGTAGTAGTAGTAGTAGTAGTAGTAGTCGTAGTAGTAGTAGTAGTAGTAGTAGTAGTAGTAGTAGTAGTAGTAGTAGTAGTAGTAGTAGTAGTCGTAGTAGTAGTAGTAGTAGTAGTAGTAGTAGTAGTAGTAGTAGTAGTAGTAGTAGTAGTAGTAGTAGTAGTAGAGTAGTACAGTAGTAGTAGTAGTAGTAGTAGTAGTAGTAGTAGTAGTAGTAGTAGTACTAGTAGTCGTAGTACTAGTAGTAGTACTAGTAGTAGTCGTAGTTGCAGTCGTAGAAGTAGAATTCTTTACGCTTCGCTTATCCCCACCAGCCCATCTCACAGCAGCAACTCTCGCGAAGCATGCCAACAGTCGTGTTTTTCAGGCGTGTGTCCGCTTGGCCCCGCATATCTCCCGTGTTCCTCCTTCCTCCCGCCTCCTTGTACATCCTCCTTGTGGGTGGAGCGGGAAAAGGACGAGGCGGAGGAGGAGGGAGAGAAAGCGCTCCTCGTGATTTGAGTCGTTTGGGGTTTCTCGTCCTGGTGTGAGTCGTTCGGGCCCTTCTTCCTGGTGTGAGTCGTTCGGGCTCTTCGTGGTGTGAGTCGTTCGGGCTCTTCGTCCTGGTGTGAGTCGTTCGGGCTTCTCGTGGTGTGAGTTGTTCGGGCCCCTCATCCTGGTGTGAGTCGTTCGGGCCCCTCCTCCTGGTGTGACTCGTTCGGGCTCCTCGTGGTGTGAGTCGTTCGGGGCCCGCGTCGTGGTGTGAGTCGTTCGGGCTCCTCGTGGTGTGAGTCGTTCGGGCGCCTCGTCCTGGTGTGAGTCGTTCGGGCCCCTCCTTGTGGTGTGAGTCGTTCGGGCTCTTCGTGGTGTGAGTCGTTCGGGCCCCTCGTCCTGGTGTGAGTCGTTCGGGCTCCTCGTGGGGCCTCTTGGGGGCCTCTTGGAGCCTCTTGGGGCCTCTTGGGGGCCTCTTGGGGGCCTCTTGGGGGCCTCTTGGGGGCCTCCTCTTGGGGCCTCTTGGGGCCTCTTGGGGGCGTCTTGGGGGCCTCTTGGGGGCCTCTTGGGGCCTCTTGGGGGCCTCTTGGGGGCCTCTTGGAGGCCTCTTGGGAGCCTCCTGGGGGCCTCTTGGGGCCATCTTGGGGCCTCTTGCGACCTCCTCAGAAGCACAAATGAGCGCTGCCCCCTGAGAAGGAGCAAATGAGCCCAAAACCTTCGTAAAATCAATGATTTTGCTATGAGGGAAGATGAGCGCGGCCCCCTCAGAACGCCAAAATGGGGCCAAAACCGTAGTGAAATCAATGATTTCTGCTTCAAAGACGAGCAGAGGGGCCAAACTCCCTCCCCCCGTCGGGGCCAGAATCCTCGTGAGGGTCGTCGTTTTTTGACCCTCCCAGGAGTCGAAAAAAAAACCCGTGGCGACGCCCCGGGGTCCCTCTCCAGGCCCAGGGGGAGGGG